AATACGCAGCTGGGAATACAAACAACAAAACAGTTTCCATATGGTTTACCCTCTTCAATCAATCTTCCACACTATCCTCCAATCAAAACAGCAGCAACAACAACTGCAAAAACAACAACAACAACAACAACACAAACAACTGCAACAGCAATTATAACTCCCGTTCGATGTGTGTCTCATGATGAAATCGCATCGAAGTTTGCTGCTTCGATTCGATTGGTTCGATTTCATGTGGAAAGTGCTGGCCGCTCCACTGCCTCCTGCACCCACACCCTCAGCCCCTTAACGGCACTTAACAGGCACTCAATACACGCAGACACACACACACACAGACAGACACGCACACATAGCCAAGCACAGTTGTGTTTGTTTAGTGCTCTGCAATTTCGCGAGTATTTCACATTTGGTCACATTGTAAACTTAAAGATAAACAACAACAACAACAACAACCACTTTTTGTTTGCCAACAGTAAACAAATAATAAAATAAATATTGAAACATTTGAAGCGTACACATTTCGAATTTTTGTTGTTGCTGTTGATGAATTTTCCGTTTTTAAAGCGAGTACCCGTTCAGCTGAGGTAGCATTTTTCAGCTGCAAGAGCATAGTTTTTCTTATACACACATACATACGCATACACACACACATACGCATGCACACACAGACACATATACACATAGGCAAACGCATACACTAGAAACACAATGGCTAGCAAATGTCTGGCGTGTGTTTAATTTGTTTCTGTTGTTGTTGTTGTTGTTGTTGTGTTGTTGCTGTGGCTATTGCCCTTAATTTATTTGCAGTTGTTGTAAGCTGATAGCAGCTGCTGTTCCAGTAGCTGTTGTCCAGTTAAGCTGTTATTGTCGATGCAATGTTTACACGATGATTGATTGCTGAAAAACGCTTATCGCGATGTCAAATGTATAAATTAAATATGCTTCAACAGATAAGCCTATATTTAAGCCGAAATCGTTCACAATGGGCAAATCATGCATTCCTTAACATAATTCCCAATTATTGCCTATTTCTATTAAGATATTTTAATGATAATTGATATTTTAGCTCAACTTATTGGTATACCACGATTTGCAGCGCATAAACATAGTTCTTGTGCCGAGGCGGTTTGTGCTTGTGTTGGTGAACGCGTGCTACGCTCACCAATTAACAACGTAAATTGTTTATGCCTCAGAATTGCCCCTGCCACACATCGTGGAGCCATTAAATATTGCTTACAATTCTGAATTAATAGATACACTCAATGAATGCTCGTTTCTGTGTCAAGTTTGCAGCCGACTGGCCTCAATTTGATGATTTTTTCAAAGACTTATCTATAGAAAGACTATGAAATTTAGCTAAAAGAATATTCAGTTTCGCGCATTTATTAATATGGCCAAGAGAGGCAACGAAAATACCTAATAATAAATGCATTTAGAGAGAATTTTGCTTCACATACGATATTTTGCATTATTCGTGAGCAGCGTGCCCTTGAAATACTTTTTTCATATCAATCGCGCACCACGATCGTCACAATGTGTCATCTCTAGTTGCGCAGCGCTTCCCATTTGTCGCGCATGCAAAGCACGCAGCACAGTTTAACAACCACTGAGCGTACGCGACGTGCCTAGCCCGACCGAGCGCATCTGACAGCGTCGCTTCCTCTGGTGCGAGTTCTGCTGAGTGTTTGGAGCAACAAATAATAATAAAAAGATACAAAGCTGTCGGCTTCAGATTTACACATTACAACAACAACGACAACGGGAACTATGACAGACAGACAGACACACACACACACAAAACAAACGACAGTTGTCGCTCTTCTCTCCCTTCGGTTTTAAAATTGTTTTGTTTGCCAACAACAACTTTATTTCTTGTTCAGTTGGGGACCTTTTGTGCATGGCACAGCAACACTGGCAGCAGCTTCAATTGCAGTGCACACTGCGCAGCTGCCATCGTCGTTTCTACTACCTAAATCTGCTGCACTTCCATCCTCTGCTACCTTTCTCTCATCTCTTCTAATAACGTCAACAGTTGCCTTTTTCTGCTCTGCTTAAATGTTATATAGAAATACGTTCTGTACCTCAGCTTCTTTATCTTCAGCTACCTTTATCAGCTTCCTTTTTTTCAGCTCCTTTTTTGCTATTTTTTTATATGCTCCTTTTTGCTCAACTTCTGCTGCCTTTGTCTGCTGCATTTCATGCAGCTGCTGCAAATATTTATTTTCTTTCTTTTGCAGCTCGCAATTATTTTAAGCAATTTCCTGCACGTCGTCCAGTTGAGTTTCTCTGCTTTGCAGTTGCATTTGTTTATTTTCTACGTTTATTGTTCGTTGTTTGATTTACGTGACATTCAACTTAATCACGTGCTGCGCTTGCAGTGAAAACGAAATGACTTTTGCATGGAGAGAGGGGGGGGTCATGGGCGACTGGGGTCTAGACCACAACAACAAATGAGTTTGAGGAAGCGTTGCCACCTACGATAACCCCCTCCTCTCCACTCTGACATCCTTGAGGGTTGCTGGCAAAAGAAATGAAAAGGAAAGAAAGGAAAACCAAGAAGAAAAAACGTCCTAATGCCTCTCATTGATTTCTTAGTTCCAAGTGGTTATTCGAAACCCGCCCGGTCTGAGCCGGTGGTTAGCACAAATGATGTTGCCACCTTTCGCCAGTTTTTCTCCCTTCAATGTGGGGTTGCTCTTCTGCTTCTTCCTCTTCTTCACCTTTATTGGCACAAAATTTTTATAAATATTTGAGCAACAAAAGAACTTAATTGTGTCTTCACACAAAAAGGCCGAGGGGGGGGTGGGGGGGATGGAAAGGGTAGATCTTATGATGTTGTTCACACCAAAAGGGGCCAATGATTTAAATTGCTAATTAGTCACGCCTACGCACACGCACACACACACAGTCACACTCAGACACACACACACATAAATCTGCAAGCGATGAGTCAATCGTGAAGCCGGCAAAAGGCATCGAACCACAAACGAAACTTAATTGGAAAATGCCGGAAGCAAAACTCAAGAAAGTTCAACCGAAACGTTTATTTATTTATTACAAAAATAAAGACTACGAATCGATACTTGAACCGGGAAATAGAGACTCTTATATCATATTCAATTCAATTACAACTTCTATTAAACGTTTTCTGCAGTTCATAGAACTATCGAGTTCTTGTGTTAAATAAATACTAACAGTTTTTTTGGCATTTCCGATCGCCTTGCTTGCGATTCGTGATCTTGGGCACACTTAAGATAATAAAGGAACACTCAAAATAATAAAAGAGTTTAAACCGGTTTTAAAAAGTATTCTAAATATTTGTTAAGAAAATAAAAAATATATATATATATATATTGCTGCGATGCTGATAACATTTCTTGAACATAAAAATTGTTCCAAGAACTAATCCTTGATAGACTTGATCTATTTATCTATTACAATAATTTATAAAAATATTGCAACAATTGTTTTTTTTTAAGACCTCTCTACAACTCTATCAAAGGAAAAGCGAAAGATGGGCAGAGCGAAAGGTCGACAGGCTGTTCACTTATTAAAACAGATGGTTCGCTCCTCGGGGTAGTTAGTTGGTTGGTTGTGTGGGTGTGTGCGTGCATGTGTGTGTGCCTGTGTGTGTATTGAGTGCAGTTTTGGGCACAACAAAATTGAAAGTTGGCTGAACTTGAAACAGGCAGAAAAAAAAAACCCACCCGAAATGCGAATAGTGCAGAATGCAGCAAATGGGAAAAAACGGCAAAACTCAAAAAACAGCTGCAATAATTACTGTCCTTGTAGGAGAGACAGAGAGAGCGAGAGAGAGAGAGGGAGTGAGAGAGGCGAGCAGCGGAGAGCAAGTGCGTGCGAAAGCAATAAAAAGACATAAAACGACTGCAGATGGACAGGCCCCTTGGCAAAGCAAGCGAAGGGAGCAAGACACAAGGAGAGGCAGATAAGGATAGAGAGAGAACGAGGGAGAGAGAGAGAGCGGGCTGCTGCAAATTATTGATTTTCAAGCGGAACAAAAGGAGATTTTAGCATAAATGTGAATGGCAGCCGCGCCCAGTATAGGTGAGAGGCATGCAGGGTTAAAGGGGGGGCGCAATTAAATGTTGAATACGCACCTGCAATAACGGTATCCGTGAGACTGTATTTGGTGCCCGTTTTGGGAAAGTCCTTCAGCTTGCGATTGGTCAGTATCAGCTCCCCGCTGAAGTGCGCTTCCTCGAGGATGCGCTCCAGCGAGCGCGTCAGCTGCGAGTGGCCCAGCATGGGCGAGGAGCCGCCCATGGTGCCGGGTGAAGTGGTGGAAGCAATGAGGCTGCTGACGACGCCGCCGCCGCCGCCAATGCTGGCGCTGTGTAGGCGTTTGTACACCGTGGCTGCCATGCTGTGTGTGTGTGTGCGCGCCTGTGTGTCTGTGTGTGTGGGCGTGGTAGCAGTAATAACAAACGACAGACGCGCCGACAACAACAACAGCAGCAAGCTACAAATGTGCAAGATTTGTTGAATGCGTTGGCATTTTCCAACTGTGGCAGCACCTAAAAACTCATTGATAAGATTTCCAAGAATCGTATTTTCCTCTGCGGCTTCTTTCTTTTCACACACGCACACACGCGCGCGCTCGCACAAACACAAAAACACCCAAAAATCAAGCGGAACAGCGGCTAAACCCAAACGCACGCCACGAAATAAAAAAAAATACTGAACCGTCTGTCAGACAGTGTGACCAAATGTGCTAAGCACAAATTTACCAAAATCCAGCTAATACCACAATGTGGTATTTTAGCAGCAATGAAATTGTACAGTTTGTCGAACGCTTAATCTGCACAACAAAAAATACAAGTAACCATTTGCTTAAATTGCTTATTTAAATATATTTGAATAATATACCATTCCTGTCAGTTAGCGGACCTTAGCCTTTATATCGATATGTTGACACTTATCGATAGAAACATTGCAGCGACTTCTTACCATCACTAGTGCAACAACAAAAATTCCAACGCAGCCAAAAAAATTATTAAAACCAACACCGAAAGTGTGCGAAAAAATTTCGAAGTAAATTAGTTGAAAATTAAGTAAATGTAAACGTGTGTCGTATAGCAACGTCCCCGTTAACTGCGGTGCATTGTGCAACGTTATCTTATCAACGCCCGTCGCTTCCCACGTCGTCGCGTCCGAATCTGTGTCAAGCAAAACGGTGGCAACAACAACAAACCGTTTATGCTCTCAATCCCCTGTGCACAACCGTGTGATCATACAACAACCCCAACAAGTATTTGATTCAATAAATGGTCCATTTGTGTATGTGTGTGTGCGCGTGTGCCTCAGTGTAAGTGAACACCTCTGCGAGAAGTATACATAATTAATTCAAGGTGTCAACGAGCTGGCAGCATCAGTTCCGCATATTTCAAATTATAACGAAAAAGGCGGTCACACCGAAACCAAAAATCAAAAGCAGCGGTTATTTTGTTTGTTTTTCAAGGTGAATAAAAAAGAACAAAAAAAAAACCAGCTTCAATCAGCTGTTTGGCTGTGTACGCGCAAGCCGTCGAGCGTGCGAGCGAGATAGCCTGCGTGCGCGCCAAAACGTCACTCGGCCGCACAGTGTGTCCACATACTGAGAAAAATATATGAAAATTAAAAATACAATATTTTGGTTTTAGCCAATTCGAAAAAGGTAAGTAAGCAGCGTTCAAGCCACTTTAATTAATTTTGTACACATTTCTGGCAGTTTTCCATAGCCAGCTTTTATATCGTTTTACATTTTAATACGCGTGTGTCCTATAAAAGTTAAAAAAAAAAAACAACCAAGTGCAAAATGAGTGAAACAACAGCAAAGGAAATAAATGTGAACGCGCCAGCGCAAATAACTCCGGCAGCAGAAACGGAAGCGGAAACGGAAACGCCGGCCATGGCGGCTAAAATAAAGCCGCCCAGCCGATCAAATATACCCACGCCCGCCTCCTCCGTGACCGGGATACCAACAAAGATGAAGCCGCCTTCCAATTTCGCTTCGACTGGATCCGTATCGAAAATCGGGAGACCCTGCTGCACGCACACAACCCCCAAATCGGGCCCACCGCCCAGAGGTAAGTCTTAAGAGATATAGATTGATATTTATAAATTTATATTTATCCGTGGTTTAGTAAGTATTTCGGCGAAACCAATTTTCGAAAACTTGTGTTCAGTTCTGGTCTTGTGTAATTTTGGTCTTGTCCAAGTACAGCTCTGTAACACCCCCTCACCACTCTGTAACTGCCAAGCCATCAATTGAATAGACGTAATCCAAAATAATGATACACCCACACTCTGCGATTCTCACCCTAATATTAAATAGATAAATTGCACAACAACAAAGCCAACAAATTGCCATTAAACTTGGTTGACATTGTAAAAGTGTTGCCAAATCCATTTGTTTTCCGTCAAATCCAGTGGAAAAGGCGTGAAAACGACAGCCAGCGGAATTTATAAGAACTTCTTTTGGGTTTTCCGCTTACAATATTTCGAGGTACAAGAAAATAACAACCATTATCATAATACTCAGTTAAATTTGCAGCAAGTGTTGCCAAATCCATTTGTTTTCCGTCAAATCCAGCGGAAAAGGCGTGAAAATGTATGCCAGCGGAATTTATAAGAACTTCTTTTAGGTTTTCCGTTTACTTTAATTATTTTAGAGTGCTTTTACTGGAGTTTAGTTCTGTTTGTTTTGAATATGTCAAAGATAGAATACAAAAATATAACAAATATAAATAAAATCATTAGAGGAGCGGAAAAAGCGTGAAAACTACCCCCAGCGGAATTTCTGAGAACTTCGTTTTTCGTTTTTTTGCAAAATAATTGTAAAGTGCTTTTACCGAGTTATAAAGTTTAGTTTGTTTTGGATATGTTAAGGATAGAAACCTTGCAACATTTTCAGGCACAACATCATAACAACACGACACTTTACGCTTGTCAACTTCATCTGAAACGTAAAGCTGCCAGTGCAATTGTTTTGATTCGTAAACAAATGAATCGTTAATTTACTCATTAAACAGCCCGCAGCAAAACAAACCTCGAATTGTTTACCCCCCGACAGACTGACAGCCGCCCACACTGGCGCTCGACTCATAATTATGGAGCTCAACTCTTTTTGAAAAAGAGTCTTTTACGGCCAATTTAATGAAACGCGGCTACTATTTAATTGAGTCGTGCTCTGAGCTGTGTGTTGGAGGCGTCTGCGACACAATTCATTCACGTAATTGTGCCAAACCGCAGCCCCGTATCGCACGTCGATCAACCCGACCCATTAGCCCATATATGCGGGGGTATCGTGTATATATTTATTTGTGTTCATATTTCTAATGGGAAGTTCGCGCGATCCTCATCCTCTTCCAATTACAAGCGATGCAACCGCAGCTCGGACAGCTTTCGTAAGCTCTCTAATTGCAACTGTAATCGTTCTAGAAGGTACTGGTCGACTAGCAGATACCCTGTGCCCAGCTGCAAAAGGTGCTGGCAGTGCTTTTAATACTTATCCCCAACTTAAGCTCTCTAATTGCAACAGCAACAACTTTTCTAGAAGGTACTGGTCGTCTTGCAGATACCCTGCTCATCGCCATTTCAAGAAAATTTCACTCTTAAATAACATTTGTATTTATTATCGAATCTGAATTGAAATTTCAGGAAATAAATTTGGCATTCTAGTGTCTGCACATACCAAAAATCAAGACCTTCTTCATAACATTTTTGTTTTTTTTTTTTCAATTTTAAGCAAGCTCTTGTACTCTTAACAGAGGTTACGTCAGAAAGTCCTCCTCTATAGCTACAAAAGCAATATACCCTTTATTTTGAACAATATTCTTTAGTTTATACGAACTATTTGACTTTGATAAATTAAGAAATGTTTTGAACTGTCTTTAGGTATTTTTATGCCCTGAACTCATTGAAAATGGATAAAAGGGGTATAATTTATTTGTGCAAATGTATGTAATTGGCAGAAGAAAGCATCTCCCCGGCCCCATAAAGTATATATATATATATACTTGATCAGCATCAAAAGTCGTCTGTTCGTCTGTCTGTCCGTCCGTCTGAGAACCTATAAGAGCTAGAGGCTTGAAATGGGGAAAGTAGGTCCTCATAGCGCCCGTGCAGAAAGCGTTTGTTTCCGATATTCCATGTAATCGATTAAAGTCGCCCCCGCCAACACATCATAGCTATAAATCAACTAAATAAAGCAATTGCACTACCCAGCAATTTAAGCCACAATTTTTATTGCAATTGCCATTTTTCAAATATACGAATATTGCATAGCAAAATAAGATCTACTGTAGAAAATTTGATCAAGATCAGTTGAGAAACACAGAAGTTGAAGAAGAATTTCTGTAGTGCTGCGATCTGTTACGAGTTCAATTCCCAGCGAGGGAATACTGGCTGCATTTGTTGCTGCTCGAAAAGGGTGCAGGGTATTCCCTAGTCGAGCACTCCCGACTAGAGTCTCCTGCTTATAATTGAATACATTCAAGCGAGCATTCAAAGGGCGCATCCAAAGCACTTAGAACTGAATCACTTTCGTGTACCTGTCATTCATCTCTCAGCACTCGAATGTCAAACCCACAACCGGCACCCCGAATCCCCGATGCCCTATCTCCGAGCACTTGCTCTGCTGTGTGGGGCAGCCGACTGTTTATAAATTGTGGCACTTATAATTGAATTTTGTGTCTGTCTGTCTGTCACGCGAGACGAACTGTTGTTGCCTTCTATTTATTTTTCTCTCTATATATTTTTGTCAATTTTTGCACTGCGCATTTGACACACACACACACACACACACACAGATACAGACATACATATCTGTCATCTTCCCGTGTTTTGCACTTTCTCGTTAGCGTTTTTTTTTGTTTTTTTCTAGTCGAGCTTATGTCATTTTATTGATCTTGATCGGAAACAAGCGCGCTCTCTATAAAAAAAATATGAAAAAAATGTGACTTCAGATTGGATCGTCTAATTTGGGCCGGGCACATCCGTGATCCGTGATTGGATTAGAGTACTACTCTGCTTTTAGCTCGAATGACCTTTTACTGATTCATCATTTCTTGACTTCATTTATGGTACTTGCCCGCATATCCTCCATAGAATCTCTGGCCGGAGACTACATTCAATTTGTTATTGCTGCGATAAGTGCTAAAAGCCAAACGCAATTCAGTTTCAGACTCGGCGGGCATTATATAGGCGCCACGATCATCAATCAGTGCACGCGCCCATTTCCAATACGAATCTTCAAGTGGAGACTGTTCGACTATCAAATACACTAAGTTTCTTTCGCATTTGAATTAAAATCCCTTGAAGTTTGGAAAAGTTAATTCAGCTCACAAAAAAGTACGTAAACGATTTATGACCTGCACTACTTTGAAAAGTGTGGCAACCCTTGCGCAGCTTTGCCGCCCAATAAAAAGACGATCAGCGCTTCGCTTTTGTTTGCAAAATCTTGAACGTACGCGTCCGTGTTACGAGCTAAATAAAAAAAGTCAAATAACTTTACGGTTTTTCGTGTCGTCGTTTATTCAATAAAAACACAGTTGCTCCATGCACACACACACACATGCACGCAGACGAAAGCAACACTGTGCTACAAAGCTTGGTTCGTTCATTCGCTCTTTTGCGCTCTCTCTCTCTCTACGTTTGGCCAGCTCTCACGCTCTCTGGCTCTCTTGCGCTCGCAAAGCTCGCAAATGATGGCTTCTCGCAAGTTCGCAAAACTTGCGCTTTTCAGTAACTTCAGCGACTTTTTGCGAGACGGACGTGTTATCTTGGGAACTACTTAATAGATGCGGGCATCAGCTCTGGCCAGCATATCAGGCTTCAACTGAACAATACAGCTATATACTGCAATATAGTGGAATACGCCGTAGACATTAAACCGATATCCATTGGTCTGTCGAATCTCAACTAATTCGCTGTTACAAATCTAAAAAAAAGGTGAATTTCTGATAAAAACAAACAATACAAAAATGAAAAATCCAGAAAGTAAAAGTTGTGACCCTTTTGATACGAGTTGTTGTTGTCCTCTGTGCTGCCCTATAAGGAATATCCGAACTTGTGCTCTAAATGTGCTCCGAAAATGTTTTCATTATTGTTGCTTATAATATCTGCCGGTCGTTTCTTAACATATTTATGTGTGTATTAACATTCATGTATTCCGGCTGAACTTTAACTGTTTCTGTTGTGTTTTGTTCGATGCTTTCCATATACATATGTTAACCTTGAGTTGGTTCTGTTATTAGCAGCTGTCTTTACATAGCCTATTCTTAACATATTGCTCTCGTAAGAAAAGCTAATTAGTCGGCGATTGTCAACATTTTACATTTTATTGCCCTATTATATACATGTTAACCTTGTGTTCTGTTATTAACAGCTGTCTTTACATAAAATATTACTCTAATAGGAAAAGTTAAAAAGGATTCGATAGGCTTATAATTTTCTTATGTTTCATGAGGCTTGACAACATTTTACTTTGATTTCGCGTTTTTTTATTGGCCTATTGATAAGATAATTATAATTGCCAACACTTAGTTACTGTTTTTTTTTGCTTTCTGTAGTCAAGTTTTTTAAAACACATTTCTTATCATTGCTTCAGATATTGTCTTTTTGTTTAACGCCAAATTTAATTTTATGTCACATTGATAGGAACCGTTAAGGGCGCGGCCCGTCGCATTTACACCTCAGTTAGGAATTATGACTAACTCTCTTAGTGCGGAATTATACCCTGAAGGTTAGCTGTATTTCCCCAGATTCTATTAACTTGCTGTTAAAACAAGTTACACCTAGTTTTGGGCCCTGAACTCGGTTACACTGTAATTTGGTCAAAAGCGCTTAGTCAGAGTCTGTCTCCAGCATTGAGAATCACATGTATTTCGCTTGGCCCACAATATCAACCTTACTTTAAACACAAAACTACAACAAAGTTGTAGTCGCCGCATGTCAAGTAAAAGCGCAGCAACAACAAAAACAATAATAAATAAATAGCACCAAACGGATTTTGCTGTATTGAAATTTGCGGTTAACCGCTAATTAGGTATAAAAATATATTATTGTCTATTTAAGATTCGACTGC